GGTACCTTGCTATCCTTTTTGCCACCATAATATTGTTACTCGCTTAAAGCTACTGAATCTCTCATCTGATCTGCAAAGACAGGATGCTGGCTCTCATCCAACTCCTGGGGCCTAGAGAGATCATATGACCAAGGCCATGGGCAGAAGGGGATCTTCTGGAGCCTGCAGCCAAGTCTTGTCATAGCTCAATTTTAAAATGATGCCTTTCTCTTGCTGTTTTAATGAACTTGTTCCTGCAGGTTTGTCTGCAGAGGCTGAGATCCTGGTTGGATCCTGGCGACTTTCTTATATAAGAAGAAATGACAAATGCATTAAGATATAATAAAAGAATTGGAAATGGTGCAATATATATGGTTTCTTTAATGATCTATCACAGTATTTTGTATGGAGTCCCTGACTTTTCTCACAGTTCGGAGAACTCTAAGCAACACTTGCTGATTGTGTTGCCCCATATGCATGGGGTAACTTTTACTTAGATTGCTGTTCTAGGTCCTGGGTCTCAGGTGGGATGAACTGCTTTATGTATCAGTGTACGTTGCAACAGAAAACTCATTTCTACCCCACCCCTTTCTTAAGTGCAGGAACAAGACTAAGAGTCAGCACATCCTAAGACTGACTGGGTCTTAAGATGCATAAGAGAGCAAGCCCATATATCAGTCTTGATGGATTTAGTTGGTTTTAGACCTTAAATGTCATCCAGCTCAACCAGCTGTCTTGTAATACTGGTCTAGATGCCCACAATAATGTAAAGGTTCAAAGATCACAGGAGGTTGGCAGTTGTTTACTAAATGACACAAAGTTTTCCAGCTGTTGCTCAAGCTTTTAGGTTGCCTTTCGACTGAGCTGTGAAGCCTGGCTTTTCGAGATCACACCAATTGAATGAGGTGCACTTGTTGATCCATGCAAATGAGTTCCATCTGGGAAATATGGAAGCTTGGTTGGGCGGAGCGGTGGCTCTGTGGCTCAGGATCTGCGCCTGTGACTGGAAGGTTGCCGGTTCAAATCCCGC